GCGGGCGACCTCGCAATTTGTTACACACGAAAATGTGCCCAGGCCTTTGACATGAAGTTGAGGACGTCCTGCCTCGAAGGCTTCTGGAGGTTGCCCTTTGGTGTCTTGTCTCCCTTCCGCATGAACTCCGCCCATGACGTATGAAGCGACTCCTTAAACGACTTGTTCCATTACACGTCTGCCGACTGTAGAATTTTAGTGCAGCCTCCTGGAATATGCACGATGTCCATAGCCATAGCGGAGGCTTCTGCAGTGTCCATGACCGCCTTCGTGTCGTGTACCGGCGCTTCGTCGATCACTAGCAAGCGGCGAACATCGTCGATGTCGGGACCCCAAACACGGCTGACCCATTCCAGACATATGTTGGTTGTCATCCAACCATTTGTGAGCGATGTCAAGTAAACGTTCGCTGCAAAAACGGAAACAGGACAAAAGTACAGTTACGCAACCGGGCGGGGTCAAATGATGTGCAGCCGTGCAGCTACTCCTGCCTACTGCTACTACTTCGGTTGGTTGTGTTCCAGAAGTTACTAATGAGACCCATGGTAACAGTTTTAAGTCGTGGTAAGCCGGAGAACTCAGATCCAATCGAGCACATCGAACACGACCTGCCTGCTCAGGGCGCCGAGGGCATATTCGGGTGTTGGGCCCACGCCTCACGCGTTACGTCATAGCGTTAGTGCAGTTACCCTCAGTTACTTCTGCAGAAGCACAGTCGGGGCTTTTACGTTTCTGAAGGTGGGTGGGTCATTTCGTCATTGCAGTTCTGCTGGTTTTGCTACGGTGCTGCAGTTCTGCGTTTGCGCTTGGTGGTCGCGATTCGGCATTTGCAAACTTTCGTCTCTCGTGACTCTCGGCATGCTTTCGTCTTTTGTCGGGAAGTACGTCAACCGCGTCTTAGTCATAACAAAGTGAAGCAGAACGCGGTTATGGCAGTCACGAATCTCGAATATCATTGGCGTCAAAATTTACAAACTCGTTGCTCTTGCCATGCTTTCCTCTTTCGAAGGAACAGCGTCACAGTCAACGAAATGAAGCAGAACTTACTTGGTATGCGGAGTGCCATGAACGCACGGGCAGGGATCCTCCCTGTGGGTTCCTTGAGTATGACAAATGCCAGAAGTTTTGCCCCCGACGCTCGAGCTGCCAGTGCGACGGTGAAGCCTCGACGGGCGCAGCCGATGTTGGCGGTCCGGATGCTGTTTTCACCAGCAACATTATTGGTGCGGGTCGCTGGGTTGTTCACGCTGACCGTGGTCTGGTTCATATTGCAGATGTTGATGGCGTGTAGTCGTGCCGTGCTCGCAAAGTAGCAATTGTAGAGCGGGATGCAGTGACAGCTTCGCCGCAGTCAGCAGGGGCCTTCTGGCTGTCGTTGGTCGCCGTACGCATAGTCAACGCAAATCGCTGCTTCCATTGCTTGATGTACTGTGTTGACGCTTTGAAGTTGCCAAGATTTAGACTCTCAGCTATCTTTAGTGCCTCCTCTGCCAGGAGCTGGTTGCTGACGGCCCAGCCGGCATCTCGCTCCCTTTGAAAGTATTCAAACAGTGCGTCATCGACCTCCTCTCTGAAGACGGGCGTCCCATTCGTGAATTTCCTCTTCATCTTCTGCTTGCCGTAGTTAAGTTGCTTCAGGGTTTCATACTTAGAGTCCCACTCACGGATTCGCTTCCTGTCGATCTTGAAATGACGAGAGGTGCGACTGACATTGCCTCTTGATGCCCGATGCCAGTCGACGACTTCCATCTTTTTGGAGACTGTGTAAGAGTGCATCCTGTGCTGGTTGCTTGTCAAGTGACCAATGGCAATCGGGAAGCACGAAGCATTTATCAAGATATATTTTACAAAATGCTGGGACGAACTGGCTGTTATCTACACCCCTATTGGTCCTGTCGTTGCTACCCCTGGATTGTGCGGACCACACAATGCTGCAGTAACGTGAAGGACAAAGTGCCCGGAGTGACCTTGGTGACCCAATTCTACGGGAATCGGTCTCCGGGCCGGGTCCGCCGCGGCAACCTTCGGCAGGGTGCCTGCCGTGACGGCTGCTGGGAACGCCGGCACTTCCGAGAATATGGGCGCTTGACGTGTACCTGCCCAAAGTTTGGAATTTCGAAAATGTTAATAGCGGGCGCTTTTGTACGGGTGTGGGGCGCTTCCTCGGTATTTTACGGTAGGTGTACCTCAATCTTTTTTCTGTCATATTGAGACGCTGGCATATATATATATATATATATATTTTTTTTTTTTTTTTGTGTACTCTTCTTGTGCATGCAGCAGCATTTCATCACTTTATTTACAACTGCCTACAAGATCTTCAGGAGTAGACAGCATACCTGGGTAGTAATTACATTACTGTAATTGAATTAATGTAATTTAATTACTTTTCTTGGTAATTTGTAATTCTAATTAATTACTTTTGGCTAAAAGGAACTGAAATTATAATTTAATTACTTTCTTGCAAAATTTAGGGCACAATTACAATTGCTTTTGCAAAACTTTGCGGCGCCGACGGAACCTCTCTAAAAGCCTCAGTGCTTGCACAAGCAGCCTAGCTCTCAGTGAAACACTCACACGCAGACACAAACTCACACTCACGCACAACATAAATAGCATTGCATTGTTTGTTGCTTTGTTGCTTACACTGCGGGCTTAAAGGAGTCTTTGGAGTCTATCTCAACGGCACCGTGTAGTGCCGTCTGCGGTGCGATCAGAAAACAATAACGTAAACATGCTAAAATATTGAAAGAAAAATATTGAGCTTCATCTTTCAGCCGAGGTTGGGAATTTTAATTGTCTGTGAACTTATTTTTCTTGCTTTTTTGCCAGTTTTTTACGTCCTTTTTCCAGAACTCTCACATATGTGTATCTTTGTATTATTTTCAAGTTCATTTTGGGTTGGTTTCACTTCGGATATTATTTGCATAAACACTTTGGAGACTGACCTTGCACCTGAGAATATTGTCACCAATGATTCGGGAGCCCCGATTTGGTACTTATATATTTCTGAGCCATTATAATTTCAACTCAATGTAAATAATTTACAATACCATGATGTTTGTATGTGAATGTGGTCGTTTTAGCGCATGTGGATTTTACTTTTATATTAACACTTGTAAAATATTCCGATATGAATAATTGTCAGATTTTTATTTGCCTGGCTAACAAAAGTCTGTAAATCCAATTTTTTTAGCGATCTGGCGTTTTCCAGCATATGAACTAATTTATTATTATTTAATAAAAGTATAAGAAGTTGTACTTCATTGTCCCATACTGTCAAGTTCTATCATGAATTTACCAAAATTCATAAAAAGAAAGTACAATACGTGAACATTGGAGTAAGGAATTAACAAATACATTGCATTCTATGCAACTCGTTTAAATTTATATGGCCCAAGTCGGGTCGCTCTCAGAAATAAGTAATTGTAAAGTAATTGCATTACTTTTTAGAAGTAATTTGTAATTGTAATTAATTACTTTTTACCTAGTACTAATTGTAATTGTAGTTAAACTACTTTTGAAGCAAAGTAATTGTAATTGTAATTAAATTGCATTTTGGAAGTAATTTACCCATGTATGGTTGACAGAAACAGGATAGAATGGAACATAGACTGAAGCTCTCATGATAGCTTGAAAAATGCTTTGCTGGCCAGGTGAAGCTTGCAGCTTAAGTCCAACATTGGTTTTCCCACGACGATTCTCAAGGCAGTTGGCCGTCAAGTGGTTAATGTAGAAAAATGGAACTGACGGTGAGTTACAAGAATGGCTTGATATGAAATCAAGGACTTTCTAAATTTGAAACACTAAGGATGATTGTGTCGTCAGTCATACTGCCTGAGCAGCAAATTGCATCTCTCACTCGGGGCATCAGGTGACATAGCTATCTAAGATTGTGCTGTCAAGGCTTCATTGGTGTCTTTTGTGCCACAAGGCGGGAAAACAGCAATGTAATCAACATAAAGCCCGGATGACGACCACCGGAAAGCTCATTCACGCAAGTGTTTGTTTAAATTGCGTTATGAGTTGCCCGAATATTCATGCTTCCAATTTCGCATGCAAAGCTACTCCTTACATTGGTTTCTAAGCTTCCTACGATGCAAAGCAATTTCAATAAAAAAAAACGGTGCAATTGAAATCTTATTCAGAACCAGCCATCCTTTCAAGCTTCATTCAAGCCGAACCAGGCTCAGTCGGAGCGGCCTGATCGACTGTAAGGCGACGAGCAATACGCGAAGACCAGTGAAATACACTCACCTCACAAGGCTTGTTTCCGGCATTGGGCTCGGAATTATTTTGTTTTATAATGGCAAGCCAAGTACTCCTCCCCTTTGCAGTAACGTTGTTTTCTGACTGGAAGTGGAAGAGTCTTTTATCATTCTTTGACGTGCTTCTGCACCCGAAGGCACAGCAAGCAGGCAGTCAGCAGCCGCAAAGGCACAACATTAAGATGCGATTCCAAAAGGACATGTGCGTAATGGCACTAACCAGCTGAGGGCAAACAACCCGAAATTTTGCAGCAGAAGCTGGCTCTCCACAAAATGGTGACTTATGGAGGCGATTTGAAACAATGATGATAATACACGCATCACTTGACTTCTGCCGTCCAATGAAGTCTCAGCAAATCAAAACATGCTTGGCTAGAGTGAGTCTATTGTTGGTAAAGCATTAAAGAATAGGAATGTGGTACTCTGACAAAGTATTCAGTGACACTAATTGAAACTTTATAGTGCTTTTCAACCTAAGGATTGGTGCAGGTAGAATTGCTCAAAGCTTTAGCCTGTGTTGAAGAAAGAGGAAATGCCCAAGCTACCATTTTCGATGCGAACCAGCAATCTTTTTGTGCACATACTATATAGCATACCTAATTTCAGAAATGTTCGCACAGCTATATTGCTTTCCATCTCAAGAGTTAAATCAACTTGTCAGCACCTTTATGTACTAATGGTTTGTTTTTCTACGAATGATCTTTCTTGACACACTTGCATTTGTTCTTGCAGCTTGACATGTGGACCAAATCCCGCTATCAAGTGTTTCAAAAGGTAACCATTCACTCTGTTTTTTTTTAAATTCCCAGTACATTTGCGATGGAGTAGATCAGGGGTTTCAAACTCATTTTAGTGTGGGGGCCAGATAGTCCACCCTCAAAAGGTCGAGGACTGACGTGGAGGGGGGGACAATATTTTGGTGTTTTAGGATAAAAAGTAGAAACGGTATTGGTGTTGCATGCTGGAAAGCAGTCAGTTCTCCCAGCGACACACCAAAGCTTTACTAGAGAGGGAACATCATGCTCTCTACTCTTTGTAAACTCGCCGTTTTGTCAGTGACATCTTTGGCTTTCATCTGCTTATACGACAACAAGGTTTAAAACGCCAATATGCAGGCATTTTTTACTAGATTGGGAGCGAGCACATTGTCATTGCTCTGTCGGACAATTCACTTGGCTCAACAGGCGTGAATAAAAACCTTTTTCATGCGACAGGTTTTGCTTTTTTGACACTTTTATAGCAGCATTATAAGAAAATACTTATATTTTGAAGGTATTTTCTGATAACGAGAAGTCCAAGCTCATAATTTTATTTTTGACAGGTACTAGCCCTGCTGCGCGAGAGGCAGAGCAGCCGATGCGCGTCCTTGAGCAAAGAGCTTGCGTTTGTAGCCTAGTAGTGATATTGTCGTTCTGGTGGATTTACATGAGAAAGGGCTGAGAAGAAAATATTTAGACAAAGCTATATTCAGTCCAAAATAGAATAGAATAATGCAGAATATGCAAACATATTATATCAGCAAAACTTCTTTTTGAGCGGAAATAAATCAACTTTATGAAAGCGATATTTATGGCGCATAATGCACTCGAAGTATGGGAATGAGAGCTTGCAGCCGCGGGAGGCTTGCGGGCCGCGTTCCAGAGAGTCGTGGGTCGCATGCGGCCCACGAGCCGCGTGTTTGAGGTCCTTGGAGTGGGGGGTAAAAGAGCATTTTAAATGATTTTGGCAGTATCGTGAAATACAGCAGAAAGGGGGATCGTGGTAAATAAGAGTGTATGTTTTGGGAAAACATAGAAACCAAGGATGCTTTTCGGGGGTCTATAGATGAGACAGGAAGTGACTCTCACAAAGCCATTTATTTTACGTGGGCTTTCATGACTGTGGAGAACTGCCATGTGTACCTAAATATCAGTCAACCGTTTCTTTTTAAGCACTCTTTTTTTCTAAATTAGGGGTCAATCTGGAGTTCTAACAAAACCATTGACCTCTAAATTTTTGAGCCTTTAAGGGGGGACGCGGGCTTTGAAAACCGGAAAATCGCGAAAAAGTCGATTTTTAGAAAACCTTATTTTTCGGTTGTATATCTCATAAACTACCTTCTCTGTAATTATCAGCACCAAATACAATGGGGAAATATTTAAAAACAATTATTTACGAGGCCTGAATAGCATCCAAGTGACGGTCAAACGTCAAAATCAACCCCAACTTCGCGCGCTCGCCATTTTCAAAGCGTTGGACCGACGGCCGCCATCTTAGTCTTGTTTTGAACGTGAATTCTTTCTCTTTTTTTTGCCAGCTCCCAAAATGGCGTCGGCCGCGTGGTTACGGCACTGTCGCCGTTCTTCCATGTCGCAATCGCAAGAACGCGATTGGACAGAGCGCGCGCTCGAGGAGCGTGCGGGGGAGCGCGCGACTGCTATTGGCTGGGACGCGATTTCTCCGCGCGCGGAGCGCTCTCCTCCTCCGTTTCTCCTGCTGTTGCCGCTCGCGTCGTCTGCTTTTGGTAGTGGTCTGCTTGCACGCGCTCTTTTAGTCAGTTCCACTTCGTTTTTCGCCATCTTTACGATCGTTTTCCGAACTTTCTTTGAGTAGTTTCGTGTAGCGTGCCCGTCTGTTTCGTGGTCGCACACGATGCGGGGTTCGAAGTACAAGACGGTGCGCGCGTTTGGCGCGCGGAAGCGGTCCATGAAGTTAGTGCGGATGGCGAACTAGGAAGTTTCTGCACGGCGTGCCGTCAATGATGATCGCGTCAACACCTCCAGTGATGGATTTTCTGTGCCATCGGCTGTCGTCGAGGAAGAACGCATCGCCCCGCTCACGCCTGGAGTGCCGAGCATGCCGACCGTTGTGGTTCCTCCCGAGATCGCGGGTCCCAGCGCCCGTCTTCCGCCTGCCGCGACAAGTAGGAGCGCGTCTTCTAGCACCCATCTGCGGACGCATTTCCTGACACGTGAGGAGATCGAAGCAGAAGCTAGACATTGTGATATTGCTCAAGCCGAACTTGGAGCTATGCCAGCAAATTGCACTGCATGAAGCGGTGTTTAGGTTCAACGCCGGCTGCTACAAGGCAACTGCAGAAATATCGGTTGCAGTGGGACTTCAGCCGACCCATCTAGCCCTCCAACGAGCTGCCGGGAAAGATGCCCTACGTCTGCACAAGGCCAGCAAACGACATCAAGAGAATTTGGAAAGGCGGAACAAGAAGAAAGTGCACAAGAACACTTCTGACTATTCTGCAGGGTCATTCTAAAGCTGAAAATCTGGGTGCAACTTTCAAGTGCTGTTTTCTCAGAATGGATTTTTTCACTGTCGTGGCTGCTTGTCCCAGCGATATCTCAGGAACTGATGAATGGATTTTTGTGCTGTCTTTTTTATTCTGTTCTCTAATAACTTTGTGAGGGCATAACAGAGCCCTTTTTTTAGAAAACTGCGCTAAAAATTTATAATAAAAAAATTAAATTTGGTGAATGTGGGTTTCATGACTACACAAAAATTCAAAGTTGCGTTAAAATTTTTCAACAAAGAAATTTAATAAAAGGGCTCTGTTATGCCCTGAGGAATGTATCCAGGGGTAATCATAACAAATTTTACGCCGCTACTACCTTTTTCAAATTCTCCAGACCTGGGATAAGGAATGCATATGGACGATTTTGATAAATATTTGTAACTTGAGAAATAATATGCACAGCTCCATGAAACTTTGCAGTTACTCTTATGTCTGTGCTATAAACACACCCTGTAAATTTCGTTCAGATATCTCTAGAAATAAGAAAGTTCATATTTATTCCCCACCTCCTCCCTTAAGGAATTTAATTAATTAACCCAAATGCTACCTCATATTAGTGACTGGTCCTAGCATGCTGTTGCAGAACGGTAAAAGCCTAGTGTACGTGTTGGTGCAAAATGCTGAATACTGAGCACAACAAAAGTGTGCACACGTGCCCAGGGGCGGATGCAGGTATTTCTTGGGGGGGGGGGGGGGGGGGGTTAGGTGTTGGTCAGCGTATCATATGTTTAAGAACCTCCTCCCCCCCCCCTTTGCCGATTCTTCGCCCTAAATTTTTACACATACAGAATTCAAGAGGGGGGTCAGGACATCCGGACCCCCCCGCTGAATCCGCCCCTGCATGTGCCAGAGAAAGCCAGTCCAGTCCAAGGTCGTGCCTGCCTGGATAAGAAGCACAGGGCAGAGAAGCAAAGAGGCGAGAAAGAGAGGGAGCAGAGCAAACGGACTTGGGGGAAGGCAGTCGGGAGGGCCAGTGCTTTGCATCAGCCGTGCTGGGTGGCAGTGCTTAGACATAAAAACAAGGAAGGCAGACACAACAAAGGGGGAAAGCAATACGCAGATCTATAAGAACTCAATACGACCGGTTGTCACGAGTGTAGCAGCTGAAAAGAAACATGTCAACAAAGCTCTACTGTACTACCTTTGCAGTTAAACTGGCATGTCCTCCTGAAAGGAGATGCACGGTGTTTAAAGCTCTGTTCACTAAAGTAAAGGGCTGCCACTTCACTTTTACAGGTGACTGACCATGCCAACGCAGCTATGCTTCACTTTTTTTCACCTCAACTGCCCGATTTGGCTGTGAAGTCCTTTCTGGTGAGGCCACTGATCACCCATACTTCGTCTTTGTATATTTATTTGTTAGACGCAGCTGCTTATAAAGTCTGTTTCATCGATGACGGTTACTTGAGGCAGGGGGAACTCTGTCTATTCTCTTTTTACTTGTCTACTGGCTGTACTTTGATAGACTTTTATGAATTTGGATTGGGTACTCTGTGAAAAAAGCTTTATTTGAAACATTTAGAAAATGAGTACACATATGTGGACTCCTCCTGTGGGTGCATGACATAGAATTTCACTGTGTGTTTTCTTATATACTTGCAGCTCAAAAGTTTAGAAAATGTTTCTAAATTTCAGTGGTAATCAGCTATTTAAGACAGGTTCAGAGGAGGCCTTGTATGTCGTGAGTTGATTTTATGAATTGTTAACACAACATGTGCATGAAGACAAAAAATTCACACCTACTTAAAAAACAATGAGTTTCCTATGCTGGTGTTGCATGCATGACATTAGGCATAATTGTGTTTGCATGGCCCTTTGATTACTGCTTCTTGATTGCTGCATCAGGAGATGCCTCAAAATTGGGATTCAGCCGAGATTGTTGAGTTCATCACTGGAGACGCAGCTCAGGGGTGCTGAGAGTCATGTGACAGTGGCTAGCAATGCTGCGTGTTGCCATAAGGCACTATTTCGCCGGTGGTTCTGACTACCCCTTCACAGCAATGAAGAGCAGATTTTGCTCACATTTATTCAGTTTGAATGAGTCGTTCCTAAATTGTTATTGCATCATTCTTTCATTCTAAAATTGGTTACATAGTGGCATTTGTTTCACTCGACAATACATTTTATATAAATAAGGCGATCAGCTTGGAAGGATTTATCCAAGATATGCGAGCATAATACCTTCACTTTATTTTTCACGCAGAACGCAGTCTAGGAAATACTAGGCAAACAAGCACACCACAAGGTTGACTTTCCCCTCAGGGCTGTTATCAATGAGGGTGACATGTGCCAGAAGACTGTGTCCACTTTCCTTTAAAAGTGCTGTGTCTTGTCTAGATTTCATAAGCCCTTTAGCACTAAGATCTCGCAGTGATGTAATATCAGATTTTCAGCCATTTCACGGGAAGCCCTGCAGAATTTTTTTTTGGACATCAAAGACTTATATTATAGCGAGTTTGTTTCACATGCACTGGCAACGTGCAAGTTCTCTCCCAGAATGCATCACACCCGTCGAGTGCCGCATGGAGAACTGGTCTCGAACGAACTTGCTGGGTGCAAATTGAGGCTGTCGCCATCTACAGTGAAACCCGTTTAGAACGAACCCACGTACAGCGAATTATTGTCGTTATCGAACTCACGGTAAATTTAAATACAAATTAATGTAAAAAGTACTTTTTATAACGAACAACATAATGGCTATATTGAACTTTTCCCCCCCGGCAATGCTTCCAAAAACGCGCAAACAATCGTCCTCTAGCCTGTCCCTTCGCTCCACCTTCAAAAAAAAGTAGGAAAGAAAGAAAATTCCAAAAGCTCAAGTGGCGAACAAAATTGAGCGAAGAGAAGCGAAGTGATTCAGAAGGGGAGAAACCTAAAATATACAATCTGCACGCACGCGCAGGAAAAAAAAAACTTGTCATCCCAAAACGATTGCCCACGAAGTGAAGTGATTCAGAAGGAAAGATAAGCTAAAAAAAAAAAAAACTCTGCACGCATGCAAAAAAAACAAAAAAACATTCCAGCGTGTTGTTACAAGGGGGAATCGAAGGGAGGAGAAAGAAAGAGAAGCTCTCGCCTTAAACGAACGCATCGGGGAAGTTCGTAGTAAATGTTTTTTTGCTATATCGAATTACTTGCTATATCGAACTGATTGTAGCGTTTCCTGCTGTTCGTTATAAACGGGTTTAACTATATGTTGTAGCAAGAGCACTGACCTCAAACTGAAAAAAGTGCCCTGTTGTTTGACATGACAGGTGGGAACATAAAATGGTGTGGTCGCTGCACTGTTTATGTTTGCGATGACATTAAAAATTGGAGATATTTACAGACAACATACCTATGTTTCTGCCACAAGCTGATAACAAAACAACTGTGAGAAATAACAAGAAGTGAGCAATCTTTTAATTTTTATAACTGTTTACACCATAGAAAACATTGTTGATACTATTCGCGCAGAAGCTTGATCTGTTTTAAGTGTGAACCACTGAAAGGATGCGGTTTCAAACTAGTCCATTGGAATCTCCAGCAAAATGTTTTGCAGCACCTTCGATTTCAATCCTTGGTCGCATATAGCTGCGACAGCTTTTATATCTAATTGGAGCGGCGAGAACTGTTGTGTTCGGCAATCACAAGGGAAGTGGACAAATATGCGGTTCGGCAATCACGGGGGGGAGTGGACAAATATACAGTATGACCATTGCATGTTGTTGGAAGTCCCGTATATGTGGGAATGAACGCTGTGATCTCGGAAGCCGGTCGTGGTCCTTGAGGTACGGCGTGCTCCTCCGGTGAAGAAGGAGCTGGCACGGGAAGCAAGTGTAGTCGGTTTCGCTTTATAGCCTCCTGGTCGGTCTCAACCAGGCATGAACGTGGCGCATCCGAAGGTGATGTACTATGACCTGTTTGTCTCTGGTCCGAGATCCATACGCGCTGAGTTTGCAGTGGTTTCAACGGTCGGGGTCCGTGTCTCCTGTCCAAGTTAATTTTTTCTTTTGCTTCGTTGTTTTCCTCCCACTTCTTTACAAGTTTGTGATTGAAATCACTGGCTTTAAGCTGTATCCAATCATAGGGAGTGACATTCTTATACGTCTCCCCATCAGGAGTTCCGCTGGAATGTAGCCACGCACTCCAAGCCCGGCAGGCTTGGAGTGCGCGATAGCACCATCTGTCTTTTTCTAACTACATTCGATTATTTTGACGGCTGACTCCACAAAGCTGTTACTTTGTGGATATCTCAGGCTGGAAGTCTTGTGGTGGAAGCCCCAGTCTTGAGAAAATTTGTGGAATTGTGTGGAGTCGAGTTTTTGGGATTGAGGTCCATTGTCAGTAAATGCTGTTTCTGGCGTGCCGTGTTTGGCGAAGATCGATTTCCAGTGGTCAGTTACAGATGTCGTTGACAATCTTGTGAGTGGCGGAACTTCTGAGAATCTTGAGTTATAGTCGATGATGAGCAAGTACCCCTTTCTTTAGAAGTAAAATAAGTCCATGCCGACTTGTTGCCATGGTCTTTCTGGGAAGGGAGTTGGAATTTGCGGTTTTCGTCTGTTACTTGTTTCCTCTATGCACTGAGGGCATCTTCGGACAAGGTTTTCGATTCGCGTGGATATCTCAGGCCACCAGACAGATTCGCGTGCACGTCCTCTGCACTTGGTGATGCCCTGGTGTGCATGGTGTATTTTGTTCTGGATGTCTTGTCTCATGGACTGAGGCACAGGATCCTCAACCCTTTCATTAGAAGTCCTTCGTTCATGGAAATATAATTTTTGTATCGCCCAAAGTTTTCACACGTTCGTTAGGTCTACTTTGCTTTTGTCAGGCCATCCTTCAGCACAGTATCATGGTAAGAGCTGACAAACATGGTCTTTTGCTTGTTCTTCCTCTATTTCCTGTAATCTCCTGTCTTTGGCAGGTAAATCAGGGGGGATGCCGCAAATGTATGCATTAATTTCCTATTCCAGTTCTCTTTCTGGAGCTTCAGCTAGAGGGTGTCCTGACAAGACATCAGTGGTGATGAGGTCTTTGCCTGGGATAGGCCTGATGTCAGAACTGTATCTCATCGTGCATAGTTTCCTCTGCAATCTCACCGGCATGTCTTCCGGACACTTCGTTGAGAAAATCGGGACCAACAGCAGTCTGTCTCCAACACGGCTCTCAATCCAGTGATGTAGTCACGGAACTTTTTGCAGCTCCACACAACAGCTAAACCTTCTTTTTCGATCTGCGCGTAGCGCCTTTCCGTCTGATTGAGGGTTCTTGACGCGTAAGCTACTGGACGGTATGTGTCGTCTTTCTGCTTCTGTCGTAGTGCTGCTTCGATACCATAGGATGAGGCATCCGCCGAGATAACTGTCAGTTTCTTGGGGTCAAACAATGCGAGTACTGGGGTTGAAGTCTGCGCTAGTTTGAGGGTGTCCAAAGCTTTCTGTTGTTGATGTTCCCAAGCCCATCGGTTCTTAGAGCTCAGAAGCGCCGTAAGGAAATGCGCTTTTTCTGTTAAAAAAAATTTTCCGAGGTAGTTTGTCATGCCTAGAAAGCTATTGGGTTGGCTGATGTTCGTTGGTGCTTTCATCGTCTTGATCGCTTCAAGTTTTTCCTCGTTTGATTGATGGCGTTACCGAAAAACTTAACTCGGGTCGTTTCAAAAACGCACTTGGTGTCATTCAGCGTTATTCCCACTTACTGTAGCCTTGAAAGGACTTCATTTAGTCTTTGGTTGTGTTCCCTCTTGGATGAGCCTTACACGAGGATGTCATCCATGTTGCATACACAGCCCTGGATGCCGCTCAAGAGTTGGCTCATTTTCTTCTAGTAGAACTCCGGTGCGGACGTAATACCATATGGAAGTCGTTTGAACTTAAATCTCCCGAAAGGAGTAATGAAGGTCATCAAGATTTATGATTCTGGCGCTAGTTGAAACTGCCAGAAGCCGGAATTCACGTCAAGCTATGAGAAGAACTTTGCATTTCCTAATTGTGCTAGAATGTGGTTGGTGACAAGAAGGCGATGAAGTTCTTTCTCAATGTACTTGTTCAACGATGTGAAATCGACGCAGATAGTTTTCATTGGGTTTTCTGACCACTACCATAGGGGAGCATCAGTCAGTATGTTCTTCAACGGATTCTATGACGTCACGTTGAAGCATATTTTCGAGCTCCGATTTCACCTTGTCCATGAGCGGTATTCAGATCCTTCTTGGTGATGCCAACGAAAAAAGTACAGCATCTTGTTGCAGCCTTATCTTGTAAGGCATTTTCACGCAACCAAGACCTGTGAACAGCAAAGGGAACTCATTTTTAGCATTGACTGTTCTGTAG